TTTTTTAACACACTTGGGCAAAGACATGGAAGAAAACCCTCAATGGGTAGGAGCCATATTAGATGAATTATTAGACATAGTCAAAGAATAAAACCGCTACACATGATCTCGGCGTCATGCGCAAACAAGTGACTACCTACATCAAGGAAATTGAAACCTACGACCAAGAAGTGGGAGAAAAAAATACATTCCATCGGTTATACTGTCAACTGATGCCTTCATTTTTGGTCTATGTCACTCATTTTCAAGTTCTTCGCTCTAAAGTCCTTGTATGACAACGTGTTGTGTGACAAGTAACCGTCTTTTGTGAAATATGCAAAAATCTTGCGTGTCTATTCTTGTTTACCAAACTTGCGTTTTAAACGACACTCATTTTTTAAACGCAATACAAACAAGTGTACCTGTTCAATCTAGGGTCTTTGAGACAGCAGTTGGCTTTCTCCTCCACTTTTAGACAAAGAAATGACCTCTACTAAAGACTTGTTTCTAGCTCATTTGAACGGAGAAATTGAACAGAACCCCCAATGGGCCGGAGCGATCCAAGACGAATTATTTGCCATTGTAAAAGTAAAAGCTACCTCAAAAGATCTTTGTGAAATACGCAGACAAGTGACTAAATACATTGACGAAATTGAAACCTATGATTCAAACGTGGGAGAACATTCAACTTCCATCAGTTATACAGAGACACGATGGCGGCTTTTCTAGCTTATGTCGCCTATTTACAAATCAGATATCGTGCTGTGTGAACAAATAAATAATATGCAAAAAACCAAATGTTGTACTTAATTCCTCCGTCATCTTTGACTCTTTTGTTACCTTTGTACTTTTTGTACCGTTAATTTTTAAAAACTAAAACCCTACTCACGAACCTATGCGAAATTTAGCCCTAGACCTACGCTGATTTATCCCTAACCCTAAAAACCGCTCCTACACCTACACGGATTTAACCCTAACCCTAACCCTAAAAGTTACCCTCGCGCACCTACACGGTATGAATAACTAATTAGATCTTACTCGGCCGAGAACCTCGGACCCAGACCTCTCGGGTATTTCCATAACGGCGTGCTCTAGTATTATTTTCTCTTCACAAACTCGCAAGTTCGCCTTTGAGCTGCGCCATGTTGTATTCTCCATCATCTATTCATTTCTTGCTTTGCGAAGCTCCTCACTTAAACCATAAAACCGGCAACACAAGCTATTTGACTAAGGACATGCGAGTCATAAACAAAGCAGAATGAGAACAAGTGCCGTTTAGTGGATAACATCACGGTTCAGCCAAGTTAAGCTCTGTTTACCCAGTTTAGCCATGGTAAACAGGCAGACGACTCACCCTTCGAGTTATACACCTTTCTCTTCCTACGAATCAACCATTGGAATCCCCCTAACAATTTCTATTGAGCCATAATTTTGGAAAATATTAACATTTAGAGGAAGAAATAGCGGCTGACAACATTTTCCAAATCCCCGAGGAAGTTTCATCCAAAGTTGGCAACTTTAATGTCTCCCTCACTCTGCTCTTGGGAATAGATGGGTCTTGCAGAAGTAAATTCTTCTCGTGTTTTACTAGGGATTGTTAATCTTTATCTGAACCTTCGAAAGATTAGCTTTGATCGAGAATGAATGGAAACAAACACTTTGCGCCGCTATTCTCAGTGTTTTATTCTTTTACTCCAACTCCTCTAGCTGTGTCATTCACGCGTCGGTCTGAACGGAAGCGTCTCGAGACAACTAAAGAGAAAGCTTTCACCGGTAGAGAACAAAATTGCTTGCTTAACGTAAATATGTCTTGCAATCCATTTGCAATTACAGCCAAGACGTAGAGTTACGGTAGGCCGCCGTCGACGTCACTAAGCAGCACCACAAGTGAGTTAAGATACAGAGAAAACGCTTCATTACTTTATCTTTTGAGATGATTTGTTTGTTTTTCTTTTGTAATTTCTCAGCCATATATTTTAATTCAGGAAACTTTTTGAGAAGAAAGGGTGAACACATTGAATTACAAGTAATAGCCTTCTGAGCAAGTTTTAGCCTTCTGAGCAAGTTTTACAACTACGGCCTGTGCATTGTACATTATTTCGGAATAAAAAGTAAAACATCTACGCTAGAAAAAAAGATAGAACTAGTGTACTTGAACATACAAAAACTTTACGTAATAGAGAGAAATCTAAATAAAAGCTGCAGTTAGTGTGAAAGGATGTACCCAACCTTCATCGCCCATGTATGCGTTACTTTCCTTTTAACGGTAAGCGTCTTCGTAAATAATAAATAGCCCAAGCAGTTACAAAAACTGTACACCACATTAATGGTTCTTGTTGTTGCGACCCATTACTGAAAAAAAAGCATCTCAGCCATCGTGCGGCGTGTCCAGTTGGTTAACATGCACTTTAAGTTAACTCAAACCAGCCCCACAAAAATGTCAAAAATTTTCATTCAGCTCTCTGGCTGGAATCAAATTTATGTAAACAACGATACCTCAGGACTGTTTAGATGAAGATAAAGTCTAAACTAACTAAATCGTAGACCTTGACATTTCTGCCTACGTACATTGTGTCGAGAAAATCCATATTTCCCATTGCTAGCCATAAACCTTCTTGACACTGTTCGCACAAATCAATGATCAAATAACACGGTTGGCTAATTTGAGGATAGTTTAGAATGCAGTTTTATTTTAAACTAGTTTTTGACAGACTTAAAAGGTATGATTCTAAAAATGTAGGAATCATGGTGATCTGCATTTGGATCAAAAGCAGCTTTAATGCCTGACAAGATGCCCATGAACAATTACTGATATTGAGCAACTGGTGGGGATTCAAATAAATTTGACTGGTCTAGCATGCGTCGCCTATTCCAAGAGACTAACTTGTGAATAACTTGACAAACTCATTTACTGTATTTCTCAAATCATTAATTGCTAGAAGATTATTTACATAAACAGTACATGTAGTCTTGCCCAGTCATGAAGGTGAATAGCAGACTAGCAATTCAAGGATGATAAATAATCATCTTCATGTACACTAGAACTTTCACTCAATTTTGTTTTAGTATTAACAGTTAGTTCTTAAAGAATTTAGCTATTGCAGCGATGTTCCTCCTTAGCAATAGTCTGTAGACCATTCCAGCAAGGGAACCTTAAAGGAAAAAATATCATGTTACTCTTGCTTTCAACTAAGAGAAAAATAAACAATAATATTACAACTGAATGTTCATCAATCAATTGATGGATGGACAGGGTAATGATCATGTGTATGACAGGCTTCCGAAGCCAACACATGATTTGCTAAATGGTCATTAATCAGTCAAACAGTAGTCAACCAACTGACAGTGAGGTTTGACTTGGTCAAGACCAGGGCCAAATAATAGGACAATGCAACAAGTAGGTTTAGGGGACACTTACCCACTGGAGAGTGATTTACCAGTTAGGTAGCCTTATCCATTTGAACAACTGGACCAAGAGCTTTTGTCAGTTTGCTTTCATAATAACTGTGGAATCTGGCTTAGGGTAAATAACTACATGTATTGAGAAAATACCAAAATAACTAAACACAAAAGTCAACTCTGCATTAAACTTTAAATACAATTAAGAATTGACTCATATCTTACATTAGACTTGAACTTTCAGTAAAATTGATTTGTGCTATGTGGACCCAAGACTAATAAGATATTCCAAAGCTTTTTCTTCATCATTATTAGCAGCTTGCAGGCAATTCAGTATGTTATCTTCCTTAAAGCCAAAGTCTTTGTATTTCTTCACTAGTTCAAGAAATTCAGCTGCCTGTGAGCAGAAAAGAGTTGAATGCCAATGATTAGTTACATGAACACATGATAATGAAGTCCAAGACAGAATGTTTTGTTCATAATTTTTAACCTCAAGATCATCATTTCCAGAGAAAAATCTTTGAGACTAAGCCATGAACATTTAAAATGATGAATCCAATCTTCTTCCCCATGCAAAAGGCAAAAAGGAGGGGGAGAGGGAATTATAAGCCTGTTCCACCTTACACATAGAGGAGGTGAACACCTTGGGCTGAAATTACTAGCCTCGTGATGGGAACTCTTTCTCTACATGTGCACATAACTAGAAATTACATTTGTATATGTGTTAAAACATGTCTTGCTATACCACCAAACCACAAAAATCTCCAGTCTCCTGCCAGCTCATACCTGACCTGCCATTTTTACTCCTCTAGAAGAAAAACTCAAGCTATCACAGCCTTAACTCAAAAACTGTTTTAAAAGGTGTAGTGCAATCAGTGTGTATATTTGAGTTAGATCTGAGAAGACTTGTCCTTGTAAATGACTATTTGTAAGCTAAAACCTTTGGTAGTGGAAGGAAGAGCATTGCAGACTGTTTTTTATCAACTCCCAAAGACGACTTTAAAATATAATCAGAACATGTTTGAAATAGTTGCAATATTCTTGGAAATTTCTAAATATTTTCAGCTATGATCATTTTCTATAAAAAATAATATTATTAGTAGTCTGAGGACAACTGAACATATTTACCTCAGATGAAATTTGGCATGTATTTTTTGATTGAAAATCACCCAGTGATTTTAAACAGGGTTTAAGTCATACATCAGCTAAAGCAAAATTCTGACCAAAGTCCCAACAGTCTTATGTACAAGTTCAAGACTAGTCCTTCCTCAGCGTGTATAAGTTATAGAGTATGTTGCATTTGTACACCTGTGATACCATTAAAGAGAACAGAGTACACACAATACAATTTCAGTACCTTGGCTTTCTCATTATTATTATATGCGAGGGCAACTTCAACAGTATCTGGAGGATATTTCTTTTCACTCAATTCATTTACAGCCAATAAGAATTCCATGACCTGTAAATTACAGAGTTAAATGTTAAAACTGAGTTTTCATTTCCAGTTGTAGATTAACATACAGTGGAATCCAGATTTATCGAATTTCCAGGGGAAATGCAAATTGGTTCGAGAAATCGGGAGTTTGAGAAATTGGGGGTGAAATTACAAGTGAAGCAAATCCAAGGGAAACAAGGTTTGGTTCAAGATGTCGAGAGGTTTGAGAAACTGAGGGTTCAAGAAATCGGGATTCCACTGTACACTGTATCTAAATCTTTTTTACTTCCTGTTAAACGGCCAGGTTGCTAAGCAAGACTGTCAATGACAGCATACATGTACATAATCAAACTTTTATCAATGTCCTAATAGTTGAAAGATACTTCTTAATGGCAGACTGAGATAATTCCATGTTAAGTTCTTTCTTAACACTATGTACACGTGTTCTTAAAACACTCACTACAAAGCACATTGAAATGCTCTCACTGACAGAGGATTAAATTTGTTTATCATTACCCCTTCAATTCTTATCAAAGTTATTATTCTCTTGGTCTGGTATATGTACAGCATATATGTAACACCATGGATAAGGAAAAGGTACTTAACACATTACCTCACTGTCTTTCATCCCCAGTCTCTGCACAGCCCTACTAACACGTGCCTGAGGGAAACCCATGCTGGCAATATTTTTGACAAATGCTTTTTCTGACTCTTCTAAAACAGGCCATGGATCTGGTAAAGAGGACCTATCTTCACTAACTTTACCAGTCCTTTGCCCTTGATCCAGCTTTCCAATTGGAGGTAATGGAGAAGGATAATGCCCACACACTCCTGGACTCTGTACAAAAAAATTAAACTTCAGGTGAAATACTGAAGATCAGTAAATATATCAGATAATTAATGTCTTCTTTCAATGTTTTGGAATTATCATTAATTGAAAGAGCCTTGTACTTGTACAACAGTCATGTGTACTGATAATGTTGAAGATCAGGCAGTGTGTGCACTCCAATTGCATTGAGTTGTGGTAGCATTATTTTCAATATGGTGGTAAAAAGGCAGAAATTAGCAGATTTTGACTGAACATTCTGTAAAAAGTTAGGCTGTTTCCTTTTCCTTTCACTATAGGTAAATATAATTTGGTATTATTCTGAACGTGTAGAATTATTATTCGTATGTATTTGTCGCGTATTCTATCGTTCTCAAGGACAAATGCTAGCACTGTTTTTTAGCATGTAATTTGAGACTGGTTTTCAAGAAGGTCAAATTCATTGTATGCTATAGTTTTGAAGCCTTTCAAAGATTTGCATGGCCACTTTGATCCTTCCTCAATAGCTCTGATAAAACGTGCTCAAACACGCTTCAATGGTACAAATGTTTTAAGCATTTTAAGTGATAGTGTTTGAGACCCTTTAATGGAGCGAAAAAGCCCATTGTTTCATTTGGTGTGTTGCATTACATAGCATTACTACTGCAAGGACATTTATTATATGCACTCAATCGTGTTGCAAATCTACTTTCCTAATTGAAGGAAAACTAACTAATTGTGAGTGTTGTGTGATAAATCTTCTATTTTGATCATTGAATGAAGGACAGTTTAATTAGAGCAATGAAAAGAGTCACTTGATCCATGAAAACCTCTACCTTGCGTGAGGTGACACACCGGAAAGCTGGAAAGCAAAAGGCAGTTGACCGTTAAAAGGTGTTGATAGGCCTGTGCGTCTCCTACCATTTGCTAGTGTTTTTAAATCTTCTACCCTCAACCTTTAGCTCTTATTAGAATATCTCTTGATGACTATCCTTTGCAATTTGATAATAAGGGTTGGTTTTGAGGTGTCATTTCCCTATCTGTATGTTCTTGAGGTTTAGCAAAGCCGGATGAGATTGTTTTACAAAAGACAACATTTTCTTCTGTGCAAGCACTATTTTCTTCGTTTTAAAGCATATTTCTTTCCTGCAGAAATAACTCCAGAGATACGTTCTCAAAACCCTCATCTAGGTTTCCTCTATTCTCGAAGGGTATTTTGAAACTCTGTACGTTTTCACTAAATGTGGAGCGAGACCAATTCGTTCTTAGGAGGCATGGGGTTCTCCTTTTACAAATCCCGTATTTACGCTTGGTGGAAAAAGTTCGTGTATTACAAGGTCTCTGTCTCTTAATATGCATTTGCTTGTCAAGGATCAATTCCATGTTCAATAACTCGCCTCTACGAATATAATTTCCGACTTTGAAATTATTCATCCCACCATCAATTGTAAGTGTAACTGTTGCCATTTAAGTCAAGTATTCTTAGGCAGATTGCAATTTCGAATCTTTCTTAATTAATAACGTCAGTTGCCTCCTAGGAATGAATTCGTCATGGAGAAATGACGGGAGTCGTGCATGCCCGTCAAACTTTTTAACTTTTGAAGGAACAGCAACAGACAGTGAATCTCCATTACAATCCACATATATTCATGCTATCTTGCTGCCACCAAAGAAGTTCACTCGAACACATCAAGATGCAAATGACTCAATTTCTGTTTTATGACCATGATGCAATGCAGTCAGAGTGTGCACACCACCAGGTTAAAGATGCAAACTGATGATGAAATGTTCAAGTACAAAATAGTGTTTCCCATCATTTCTCAGGTAAAACACTTACAGCTGAAGGTCTTCACCTTCATCACGAAACTGACAATTTCTCCTTACATCTAGTGAGCAGGAATAATTTACTTTAAAATCATCTTTGAACAGCATTAGTGAGGAAAGTCAAAAAAGTTCTGCATGTATGTACATGTTCTGCATGTTGTACAGGTTGATGTTTCAAGCATTAGCTATATGTCAGAGCAAATGGCCAACCTTTCGCTCTTATATAGGGCTGATACTTGAAATGTCAGCCTTAGAAACTCTTATACTGGCCTATTTACATTATCCACTCAGTTGACGAAACCAAAATAATATTATTTTAAGACAGTTTACTCACTTGAGGTTCAATGGACTCTGGTTCTCTTGGACTAAAAACAGTTGAGGGAGGGCTGCTCTGTCTGAGTTGTGTTCTAGCATCTCGAGGTATTGAGTTTGGCTGTTGCCCTTGCAATGGAGGAGTTTTTGGAAAATTATAAATCCCACCCTGAAATGAATCTCTACTCTCACCAGCATGTGTTAAAATTTGTGAATGGGTTTGTCCTTGCAGTTGTTGAGAACCTGTCAAGGAAACACTTTGCCCAATTGGGGGTAACACACCACCCCTGGAGATGGGCCTGTTCTCAGGAAAAAGTCTTGTGCTAGACAAAGAAGTAGTTGTGACTGAGTCACTATTTACAGCTGGAACTTGAGGAGTACTTGAAGACGTCCTTGAATCTCCAAAGTCAACTAGCAATGCACCCCTTGTGTTGGCATTGGTTGAGGTTGTTATGTCTGAAGGTTTAGTGACAGATGAAGGTTTATTACATGAATTTGTTCCGGTAATATCAATAAGTGAGCTCTGAGGAGGAGACACACTGATAGAAGTAGCTGAAGCACTTGTAGAGGCCTTAAGTTTTGTATCAGCATGAGAGTTGGATGGATTTTCCACTGTGGTAGCTGGCCTTATAATGTTAGGTTGAAGAACATTTTTTAGTTCATCCATATCATTTATTGTTTGCAATTCCACAAGTTCGAATGGTGTTGATGTGTCACCCTCAAAATCTGCCAAGTCAAATGCATTTTTTCCTTTTCCCCCAAAGCTATCACTTTTTTTATGTCCTAATCCAGGAGCAACTACAGGTTGAAGAATCTCACTTCCAACATTTGAAAACACTAAATTTTGACCAGAAGGAGTGTCTGATGAAGAACTTTCCACATGAGGTTCAGGTGAGGATTGCACCTCTGTTTTTGTAGAAGCCTTTAAGGCATCTGCTTTAGAAATGACATCTTTCTCAAGACTGAAGTCATACTACAAGAAAAGAAGGCAAAGAAACATATGTATCGAGACATTTAAAGAGAAAGCTATAGAGATGGAATATGGGAAACATTTTCTCCTAGTAAATTTTTACATTTGAGTTTAATTCTTTAACCCTCTTTTAACCCTCTTTTCCTTGCACAAAAACATAGTTTGTGTATATAATTGAACTACAACATATACTTGTACAAGTATACAGGTGATTCCACTGCACTTGAATTTTTCAATTCCTGTATGTAGGATTCAATTGTAGGATATATTAAAAAATAAAGGCTGGCACTTTCTTGAAGTAACATCAACAAAACTACTATTATAATAATATCTACTCTAACTTAACCACTTACCATTACACTTAGGACAACCGAGGGATCTCTTTGCTGCCATCCAACAGGTAATGTTACCTGAAGTTAAACCACACTAATAAATCAACTGAGGTACTTCACCTACTTTCACTGGCTAATTAGAGTGTCTGAATGATGTAAAAGCCAGATCTAAATGCCTGATCTGCAAAGCGCAGTACAGCCCATCTTCAGCAGATTCACACAACTTTTTGAAAAATATTTTATAAAGACTTTTTCTATAAAGATGACACCCCTTCTAAACATTTGAAGGTTTGAAAGAATTCTCAAAAGTAATGTAAACCCTCTACTGCATCTCAGATTTACATAACTCCTGCATAACTGTCTCACACCTTCTCTCAACTACCTTTTCTCTTTAGCTGAGGCTCTGTAAGCATAGAAAAAGCTCTCTAATGCTCAGTCATAACTCAAATGAAGTGACAATATTAAATTTTGACAGGAGTAGTTCTTGCGTTATATTTAGAATAACTAAACCTACCTTACAGGGCGATCAAAATATACATTCATGAATGATCTGCTGATAATCACGGGTTCAACCATTTCAAATCCTGCATGTTTAAATGTTGATAGTTTGCTTACGTGATTGCGTACCTTACAGGCTTACGCGAAAAAAAAACATATCGAGAGGTACTAGTAACCCTATTTACCTTTTTCGGCGGTCTGAACCTCTCTCCAATTTTGACCTCGACTCCTTGCAGAGAATGAAATTCTGCATGATCTGAAGATGAGTTTATTACAAGAACAAACGTTACATAATCTCACTTTTTGATGCTCATATGTGTAACATAGAGCATGTAATACTCAATTTTCTAAGGTATTCTAGATGTGTGTTGTATACCTTAGGCTAGATCGGCAGGCATTATTCTAGAATTGATGCTTATTTCTGCACTGTTACACACGTATAGTCAAATTCACATCACAATTTCATGTTTTCTATCGATTTCTTAGCTGGGGGGTTTACAGGGAGAAAAGAAACAAACACTTACGACTTCCACTTTTGCGAAATGTCTTTTGAAAAGAAGTCATCATGAGCCAAAGTCCAACAAATCGTGAAAGGAAAGAATTGCTGCCTCAGCCGATGTTATCCTCCATTTTAACCTTTTAGAGGTATGATGTCATTGCGCCTGCGTTGTTTTGCGTCCGGAAAGGAAGTGTAAATGTTTTGGGAATGTCTATTAAAAGCTAGGTTTTAAAACCACCAAGCAGCATCCTAACATCTTCTATATTTTGCACTATTATATTGTAATGACAATCTTCAGCTGTACGGTCTCCTGTCCGGCGTACCAGTGTCTACAGCAGTGCTGCAGGTGACAATAGTGAAACTCCCCTCTACCCTCCTCAGGTCAAACTCTCCCTACCAGCCCTACCTGCTTGGAACCTGCTCGTGTTGCTATAGTGAGGTACGATGCGCCATTTTGAACTTTCTAATTTTATGAGTGAAAAGTCGTAACATCAAAATGTCAAAAACAGATAGACTTTATCAGCTGGAAAGACCACCATTCACTTCTGTAAGTTTTAAATTTTGTATAATGCCCGTCATGCGTTCTTGGGACTTCTACCTCCAGTTAAACCTTTTACTTAATTTGTTACTAGCAGAGACAAGATTATTTACCTTAGTTGCTTGTGTTGTGTTTCCGTGAACAGAGGGAATTTCACACCAAGTTTACGAATCTTGTGGGACCACTAAGTCTATTTGAACCTCAAGATGGAGCAGGTAGGAGACGGCTGTGTTTGAGTGTGATTGCAGATACTTGTTTGTCAAGGTCTCCGTTTAACTTTTTTCTAACGTAATCTACGTTACAGTTTTTGCATTGTTTCATATAAATTACATTGCATTGAACAGTTGGCTTTACAGTTTCAGTTAAGTGAAAACGTTGCTCTCCTGCAGGGAGATCTACCTGCTCTAGAAGATGAGGTGTTTTTTGAACGATTTCTCGTTTGTCCGTCGCTGTATACAAAACCAAATGGTTATACTGCCCCTCCCTCCCCTTTTTACTTTCAACTTTTTAAAGAACCTTCGTGGATGTTTTGAGAAAATTCTTGTAATTTCAAGAATTTCAAAGAAACATGTGATAAACAACTGCAGCTGTATACTGAAAATGTATTAACTTTGTGATACCATCTTCCATTCTTGAAAGATATTGGAAATGAGAATCCTGAAGTTGAAAGACCATTAACACCAATTGAGGTACATTCGACGAATTTTTGTACAGTACAGTAGAGTTGGTGAAGCACCTTGAATGTCTTCTGCACTCTCTTGTGCGTAATGTGTAGAAAAGTTGATCTAACATACAAGTAACCCTTGGTCATCCGGTAAGTAGGGATATACATATCTTATTAGACGTTTTGTTGTATAGTATCGCTGAGTATTTTTACGAGTTGTGCCAAATGAAGTTATTTGTATTTTGATGAGCTCTATGGGCTCGTCAAAATATAAATAATGAGTAAAAATACATATATCTTATTAGACATTTTGTTGTGTGGTATTGCTGAGTATTACGAGCCCTACAGGCTCGTCAAAATACAAATAACGAGTAAAAATACTCAGCGATACTACACGACAAAACGTCTAATAAGTTATTTATTATCCAACACGCCAAACTGTTATTTCAGTGGGGGTGAATTTCGCGGATATTTATTTACGGGGAGTGCGTGACAGAAGTATGCAAAGCGGAACGGAATTGGCACATTGTTGTGTCGCTGTTTCTATTTTCTTCATTAAATGAAGAAATTTTCTGCTCATCAAGCTGTTTTTCTTCGTTCGATTCATCTAATGAACTTGGACCTATATTTGCCAGCCATTCTGACTCTTCGTTGTCGGAAATTTGATTCAAATTGTCCGCCACTTTTTTTTTTGTTCGTAACTACAATCCAATTCTTCACTTGCATGATGCGAGAAAACCTGTTTAACTGATACTACAGTAGATGAGTACAAATACAGCGTGATATTTGTACTCGTCTATGGCATTATTTGTACTCATCTAGTTGTAGTTGGATAATAATCAGCGATACTACACAACAAAACATTTAACAAGTTATTTATTATCCAACTCGCCAAACTGTTATTTCAGTGTGGGCGAATTTCGCAGATATTTATTTATGGGGAGTGCGTGACAGAAGTATCCGAAGCGGAATGGAATTGGCGTGTTGTCGTGTGGTTGTTTCTTTTTTCTTCAATAAATGAAGAAATTTCCAGGTCATCTAGCTGTTTTTCTTTGTTTGATTCATCTAATAAACTTGGATGTATATTTGCCAGCCATTCTGACTCTTTGTCCTCAGAAATATGATTCAAATTGTCCACCATTTTTTTGTCTTAACTACAATTCAATTCTTCGCTTGTGCAATGCGAGAAAACCTGTTTAAGGAGGCTCGAAAGGGTTTTTTTGACCGTGGGGAGAATGGATTCCAAAATACACGCAAGCTTATTACTCGCGAGAGAAATAAGCGATGGCGCGCGCAATCAGATCCGCAGGTGAGTTGTAAACAAACATGGCTGCCATGAGCGTTTCAAAATTGCCGGGTACCTCTAGCTCTATTGTTTCCAGCGGAAGTGATTATTTGAGAAACAAAAATGGAAAGTTTACTTCTTGAAAGCAGGTAGGAAAATGTTCGGATGGCAGGGTTCTTGCCGAAAGTGGTCAATAAAATTTTATTTAACAAGCTAAAGGAGGATGGTGAAGTGAACACCCCATCAATGAAGTCGTGTTGAGTGCATTCGGTAGGTCTTACTTTGTTGCGCGAGAAATTTAAGTGGATACCTCTGAGTGCTACGATTTGTTTCGCATTGTATTTGATTCCTAATAAAATGAAATGACTGAGAACTTTCCTAAACAACTCACTGGAAGATGAAAAGGAAAATGAAATCATTGTTGGATCCAGGATTGTAAACATTGACAGTTTTATGAACAGAAATGGAGAAGTGTAAATGTTGCTATAAAAATAAACATAATTTTCAGTAAACAAGGGATCGTAAAAATGTAGATGAGACTTTAAATTAATTCTAATTCAACAACAGACGGTAAAATTAAAATAAAATATTCATCTTAAACTTGTGAGAAAGATTGTTGATATTTCCCTCGATAGTNTCTGGAGGAAAGTTTATCTTATAAAGAAGTTCAGTTCAAAGAGTTTTGCCCGCCCGCCTGTGAAAACCAGTCGCCCTCCTGCAGAAAACATTAATGAAACCCCTGACTATCAATAATTTGGTCTAGTTTTATATTATTGGTAATCCACTTGTGCATGTCAGTGCTTGACACTAACTTTTCATCTACGGGTTTATATCGAATTAATTTGATGGCCTGCTCCCAGTTGGCTTGTTAGCTCAATTGGTAGAGCGCTGCACTAGTATCGCAGAGGTCAGTGGTTCGAATCCCGTACAGGCCTGATTTTTTTCAGGTCTGATTTTCGCTATTGCATAAATAGCGCTATCTACTGCGAAGGATCGTGCATCATACGTATTTAATACCGCAGTTCAAAATATATGAACTTCATATATTCATTGTATCTGATTTATCATCACGGGTTTATTACGAATCAACTTAACGGCCTGCTCCCAGTTGGCTTGTTAGCTCAATTGGTAGAGCGCTGCACTAGTATCGCAGAGGTCAGTGGTTCGAATCCCGTACAGGCCTGATTTTTTTCAGGTCTGATTTTCGCTATTGCATAAATAGCGCTATCTACTGCGAAGGATCGTGCATCATACGTATTTAATACCGCAGTTCAAAATATATGAACTTCATATATTCATTGTATCTGATTTATCATCACGGGTTTATTACGAATCAACTTAACGGCCTGCTCCCAGTTGGCTTGTTAGCTCAATTGGTAGAGCGCTGCACTAGTATCGCAGAGGTCAGTGGTTCGAATCCCGTACAGGCCTGAAATTTTTTTCAGGTCTGATTTTCACTATTGCTCAAATAGTGCTTTACTGCGAAGGATCGTTCTTATATAAAGAGTATAAATACTCAGCGATACTGCACAACAAACCTTCTAATAAGTTATTTATTATCCAACATGCCGAACTGTTGTTTCAGGGGGCAAATTTCGTGGATGTATTTATTTATGGGGAGTGCGTGACAGAAGTATGCTAAGCGGAACGAAATTGGCGCGTTCTTGTGTTGCTGTTTCTATTTTCTTCATTAAATGAAGAAATTTTCTGGTTGTCAAGCTGTTTTTCTTCGTTCGATTCATCTAATAAACTTGGATCTATATTTGCCAGCCATTTTGACTCTTCATCATCGGAAATATGATTCAAATTGTCCGCCACTTTTTTTTTTTGGTAGCTACAATTCAATTCTTTGCTTGCGCGATGCAAGAAAACCTGTTTAACTGGTACTCTACAATAAATGACTACAAATACCGCGTGATATTTGTACTCATCTATGGCCTTATTTGTACTCGTGTAAGTGTAGTTGGATATTAAAAACATATTATTGTTAATGGGTTATTGTTGAGGAAAATCATCATTGAGAATTCAAGGTCTGTCTTAAGTTCTGAGAAATAAAGTTTGTAATCAGAGGTTTTTTCACGGATAGGATGCAGTCAAACGGCCACCATCCTCATTCAGTGCTTTGGCAAAGCTAGTTCATCCCAGACTAACACCAAAGGAGGGAATTACTGGCCTGTCTGTTAATGACCAGCACCAATTGGTATGTACACCAATTTTCTCATGACTTATTTTCAAATATCTGTGACTGTATAGATTTGCCAAAGAAACATGCCTGCATCCTACTGAAGTCTAGAGGAAAGTACACTTTTTAGTTTGAAGACCTTATGGTCTCGTGGGAAACAGTTGGTTTTGTTTTCCTTTGAAACTTGATCACTATGTTTATTTCTGAGATACAATGTATATTTTTAGAGGTTGAGTTGCAGTTATCTGAGGAAGATGGGTTTAATGGGTTTGCATGCAGGTGCATGATTGTGTAGGCAGATTTGGCTTTGAAAAATCCCATGAATTGTGAATTTGTGAAAAAAATTCTTTGACAACTTTCTCCTGCCAGTGTTTACACATGTATCATGTAAGATGTTTATCACACACGTACGTTTCCCCTTTAGATTGGAATCCTCATGAATGAATTAAACTACATTTGGCGAGATGTACATAGAGGCCCTCCAGATCCATTCTTGGTATTGTTAATCAATACAGATAATGTAATATTTTTTTTCATGGACAATGTAATCTTTATACACAAGCTCATGAAGAGAAAATTGACAAATCAGTCAAAGAGGCTTACTGATGTTAATGTACACATACAATAGGGTTTTGTCATAGTGAACAAAAGCCATGTCACAACTTGCATATTGAAAAACTTTTGATTCAAACTAGATAATCTTAGTCAGCATTTGTTAAAACTTATTTTAAAGTTCATTACCGGTAAATTTTTTTTTAATTCTCGGCTTTTTCCTTTTTGATTATTAGACGGGACAACAGAACAGAGAATTACGAAGGTAAAAAAGATATCCAGCTGCTGCAACACGAGCATTTCTTTTTCATGCAAGAGAGTTTGAGTTTGTGAGTAGTAGTCCCACTGGCGGGTGAGCATCTTCAAAGGCTCATTGTCAGTGCTAGACCCAAGGCAGACCTCACTTATACTAAATCTTCCTGCAGGCAAGGAAATGTTCATTCAGCAGAGTTAATAATTAGTGCCTGCTTGCAGAGAAATGAAAAAAATGTGTGACATCACTTTATTGGGCATAATGTGGCACATTTTGCAGTTCTACAATAAAGATTGAAAAGCAAACAGTACTTGACATAGATAAATTTTGCATGCATGAAAAGTCAAGAACAGATGATGGCCACCAAGAGTCCCTGTCAAAAGGCTGGAGTAAATAAGTTAATATTTGAGTAGAGAAGATAGAACATAGTAACAGAGCAGACCAAGTGTTGGTATAGTGTTGGGCAAGTGTAAATAATTGGCTGCTTGTCAACCAATCACTGTGTAACATGTCAAGAGGCAAAGGATGTCACTCAACATATTGATCAATACTCTGCTGATAGAAGTTACTTTTTTTACTTAATGACTCCCATGCTCAGTGTAATCAAGGATCAATGATAAGGCATATCACCATGTTCACACACTTTTATCATTTTAGCGAGAACAGTCAAGTATGTGGAAGGGAATGTGGGAGGCCCAGTGGCCTCATGGTTAGTGCACTGGACTCCGCGTTGAGAGGCCTGGGTTTGGGACTTGGCCGGTATAATGCGGTGTGTTCTAGGGGTAGACTTTACTCTCACAGTGCCTCTTTAAAGGGCAATCTTAATGTGGAACCTTGCCCTTTTGTGTGTCCCACACCTTCCTGGTAAATGTCAGCTGCGGTCAATTAGTTAAAACTAATTAGCCTCTATGATACAATATAATTATTGTTTATAGTTTTTGCTTTATTCCATCAACAGACGCCTTACAATTGAGGTTGTGGTTGTTGTTCAAGGACTCTTTGTTAAATACTTAGACAAAGCCCAGAGTAAGTTAAAACATGGGTAGATGTGTTTTAAAATGGCAGGAGATTGGGTTAATGGTTGTTTGAGAGTTTTCCCTGGAGGTTTAGAAAACAATTTCCTTGTTTCCATGGTCCATTACAGATATGTAGTACATGCATATACATGACTTATAGATGAGGGCAGCTTTGGTCACAATATTTGTCCTTTAAAAGGTAGTAGGTACTTACAACCAATCAAAATGCATCTATGCATTTGAAGAAAATTGAGTGCTGATTGTGGTATTGTTTAGCAGCTGATAGACATCTTTTCCTAAAAAGCCTGGTGTTTAAGGAGGGTCCCAAAATTACTGATGAAGAAAAAAGCACTGTGTCACTACGTCAACTGACTCAAGGGGTCAAGCGTACATAAATCTTTCTTTTTTTTTTAAGAGCTTCACCAGAGAGGTGTGTTCAGCTGTCCTGCAAATCTCAGTCGTCTCAAAACTCAACTGGCTTTAGAGGCAAATAAAAGGTGTTGTGCTTTTTCATTTCTCTTTGCAGTTAAACCTTTTGCAACACAGTACATCCCCCTAAGGTTATGATGTTCCACTTAGTTAGGAGTGATGTTGGTTTTGGTAACTATATTCATTTTATAATGATGTTTATACTAGCTAAGAGGAAGTGTAGTTTATAAACCTGAGGGATAGAGAATTGAAATATAGGTGCTGCACAATGAAGACTGGGAAGAAACTTTTGATAACAAATGCTGTTTGCTTTTGTTTGTGTAACCATCAAAAGATACTCTGCAAGGAGATTTGACTGAACTATAGTAATTGTTTACAATCCAATCCCCTTAGGTTCCTGTATCACAATGACATATCTGATGGCCACAGACTTTTTATCCTAATAATTATGTCAAATCAATCATTTTTAATCTTGTATCTTTTGTAGTCTAAATGTGCTTAGCCTCAGACGTAATATTGCAGCAGACATAAAGCATCCAATTGATACAAGCACAGTCTCTAGCAAGTTTTCTTTGGGTAGAATCCAACATATTCCTCCACCAAAGCCCTACAGACCTTTAGCAGTAAGAAGTTTGTTAGATAAAATTAATTTAGTTCTCGTTAATATTTCTCAAATTAATTTGAAGGAGGTTGTTTTTATTTTCTCTTGGTAGCAGTTATTTCCCCAATTTTTTTTTTGCTTGGATTGATTACAACAAATGATCATGTATTATGTTGTTGTTGTAGTTGTTTTTATTAATTTTTTTTTTTCAAGGAAGACAATTATTACTTAAAATATTAGTGCTATTATAATAAGTTGTTTCCATTGAATGGTGATAACAAGCTATTTTTTAGATACATATGTTTTCATAGCCTTCATTTAATGCCAAGGTATTCCCAGGTTTTTGTTTGTAGACATTATCTCTTGCAAAAACATGAAAGAGTTCTGGAGACTAAAGTCTTAAGGAACAGATAATTTCCAAGGACAAGATCTCCAAGAAAATTTTTGAGCCACATGGAAGCTTTGTTTTTTATTATCATAAACATATTTTTTGCAAGTGAAGATCAGCATTTACAAACAACTTACCGGTACTTTTAAAATGGATGTTAACTTTTTTGTGAAAATTGGGACCTTTTGAACAAACAAGTTTGTCTCTACTTTTCTAACAATACCAAAACAATCTGACTCCCAACTTGAATCAAAGCTAGACATTCTTCACAGTAGATGCAAGGTTTGATAAGTGGGGAAAAAAGGGCTGTACTCAGTTTTGGGTCACACGACATATTCTAGCCAATTGCACACAAGCATAAAACGTTTGATGGATTATTATAGACTGATGAATTTTTAGAGCAACTAAAAATATGCATTAACTTTCTCCTTTCTTATCGTGAAGGTTATTTTATAGAAATGATCAACCAATTGGACAGAAGTTTTGTCGCTTAACCAGATGTTTTGATATACTTCATCTTAAAATTAATGAATAATTGGTAATGTGGACAATCTTAAAATTTTTTTTGTTTTTGTCCATGTTTTTAGACAAGACAGGGAGAGGATAAAAAGGGTAAAGTATATTTAACAAGAGTAGAGAAACAGCAGCAATGGATGGATCGTGAATTGAGTGATGTGAGTGTTACATTATACATGCACTCATTTACTTTTAATTTCAGCCAGACTGTAGGCTCACAGGGCCTCTGATCTCCACCCAGGAGTATAAATGAGTACTCTAGCTAACTGTCAGGAAAGCCTGATGAAATGTTGGTGGGTAACCTTGCAATGGACTAGCATACCATCCAGGGAGGAGCAGTAATACTCCTGGTCACTTCATGCCATATGGAAACTGGGATAAAAGCTCTGTCTGGGTGGGCCAATATGGGAGGCGCAGTGGTCTCATGGTCAGTGCACTCGACTCCAGATCGAGTGGTCTGGGTTTGAGCCCTGGCCAGGGACATTGTGTTGTGTTCTTGGGCAAGACACTTTACTCTCACAGTGCCTCTCTTCACCCAGGAGAATTAAATGGGTACCAGCAAATTTAGTGCTGGGGGTAACCCTGCAATGGACTAGCATCCCATCGAGGGAGGGGTAGAATTACTCCTAGCCGCTTCATGCTATGGAAACCGGAGTTAAGAACCGGCCTGATGGGCCACAAGGCTCATAAGTAGGCTTTTTTTTTGGGTGGGCCAATAAGGTTAAGCACGCATTTAACAAACATCCCTTATTTTGTAATTTAGTAGAGAAAGCAGCTCACAGAATGAGTAACATGTAAGCATGTTTGTTACTGGTCTTCCTATATCCACATTTATTTTGTTTGGTAAGCAACTCACCAATTATTGTTTCATGATATCTCTTGCAGCTGCAAAGGCAAATGCCACATTTACAGTCAAGTTTATTTCAGAACATTGGCAGTCAAAATCTTCCTCTTCAAAAAAGGTCTATGTCAGGTAAAAAATAATCTTAAATGAATTAACTCGACCTGCTTTAGGTTCACAACTGGCACCAAAGGAGTTTTTATCATCATCCCTGTAATTGATTGTAGAACTTTTTATGCTTCTGACATTGCTTCCTGCACTATATGCTTGGTAATTATCTTAACAATGGCAATCTCCTGTTGTTTTGGTGTAGCGTGGTTACAAAATGATGAAACAATGTTTCAAAATACAACATGAAATTAAAGCTTAATTACCAACAACCTTCTCAATTACACCAAAAATTGATGGCAGTTAATAGTGTTTTGTTTTAACTCCTAGATTCTGTTTCAATATCGGAAGAAAACCTATCTGGAGAAAGGTAAACCTTCTTCACTAACTTTTGTCCATCATAAAAAAGGTTTTGGTGTCTCATTGAAGAAGTATCATTTTCTCGTGATCCCTTCATTTGAATGTGGATCACAATGATTGGGTACCATACCACAAGTCCTCTTCAGCTTGGCTGGGAAAAGGAGACTGCAGTGTGCTGTGGCTGTCTTGACTCCACATCTCCCTCACATTGATCAGTTTTCTTGATGCAATCATTTTATTTCTTTGCTCAATTTGCTTAAACAATCTTTTTTTACACAGAAGTGATGATGCAGTACTCAACTCAATGCGACAAGTAAGTCATGTCTCTTAAACATTTCCATTCATATCTCTGCCATTGGTAATTCAATACAAACTCTAGGTGTACCTTTGAAGTATTTTGGCATAAGGAATATACTGGTCACACTTCTATGTGTACATTTAAAGGCACTAAACTGTACAGCTAACATAACTGACACATTGTCTATGTTAGTATCGTAACTTGGACCTTTTCCTTCTTTTTTTGTCGTTTGGTAAAGAAATTTTCATCATTACCAGAATTGTTTTCAAGGGATGCTGTACTTGAAGAGCTTGGTGTCTTGCCAGAAGACATAAAAGGTTTGGTGATTTTAAAGTGATGATAATGGAAGGACTTCTCAATTTTCCCCTTTAAACCTCAGCTAATATTTTGTAATGTATGTGTAGGAGTGAGTAAAACATGCACTCCCCTACCCCGGTTCACAGTATGTTATCTTTGAATAAAAAATGCAAATAACTGAAATTTCAAAATTTCTTTTAGAATTGTAATCAAGAGCTAATTTTGTTGCTTTATTATCATATCGTTCTTACCTTTCATAATGTTTTATCTTTAAATAAAAATGCAAAATAAATGAATTTTCAAAATCTCCATCATGAATTGCATTCAAAAGCTAATTTTTTTGCTTTATTATCAAACCTTTTAGATTATGTGCTCAAGAGATCCCAGAGTGAAAGTAAAATTGTGGTGTGTACAAAGAATTGTCGTGTTCTTTTGAAAGCTCATCTTATCAAAGGGGAATCATGGGATGCTGCTCTCTCACCTGCACTAAGAGGGGACCCTTTCATGAAATTTGTGGCAACTTTGTGGGCTTTGGACCTTTCTGTTGCTTTTTGGTGTTTGAATTTCAAGACCATCAATATCTCGATCTCAAGAAGTAGACACTGGAAACTAAGGGCAGTTTTTGGGAGCTGTTACTACAGGGAAACAAGCCTCCTGGTGTCACGTTTGGGTTGAGTTTGATGGTGATTGTCATCTTTAACCTGGTAGTCAGTTTTTCTCCCTTGTTCCCTGCATTTTGATACTTCTTAATATATGTAGGTCTTCTGCTTTTACAATCATGAAGTGATGGATAAAACTACAGGGGAGGGGCTTTGTGTAATGGATACTTTTATTTTAGTCTTCTACTCCTAAGAGTGATTAGCATCTAATTTCTCCAGACAGTATCACCTTTGAATCAAACATAAAAGTAGAATAAAGAAAATGATTACCAATTCAAGACGCTTCTGATTTTCAAACAAATTCTCCTTGTAAGTACCACAGGAAATGTGAAGAAAACAGTGATGGAAAACATGAATATCAATGTTAAGGTTTAAAGGGTAAAAAAATACAGGAATAAAACTCCCAGTAACTCAAACCAAAACTGTTTTCCCTGGGTCTCCGTCTTACATTTATTATAATATTGCTTTTGGTAAGTCGATTAGTTCAACCTTCGTAACTCTCCCTTCTCGCTAGCTCAAAGTTAGTTGGTTCTCTTCCCAGGATTCCCTTCAGGGAATTTTTTCATGTAATGTATACCCTTGTTATATGGTTTTTCAATACGTAAGGAGTCGACAATAACAGTATTGAAGTCCAAAATGTTATATTTTCAGCCGACCTCTTTATACTACACCTAAAATGTGATTGGTATGTTTACTCAAACGAAAAAAAGAAAAAGAAAAAAATTGATAAACACCGTTTTTCCCCATTTCTGTTCATTTCTTCTTAACTCCGAGTCAGTTTTCTTTCAAAGTTCAAGTTTTTGAGAGCCGACAATACCTTTTTCCTTATTTTATTGTGATATAATTTCAGGAAGAGGAAATGGTTGATGAGTGTGAAGATGACAAGATAGCTTCAAAAAGGTTGTTATTCATTTGGTCCCCTCCATATCCCAGAATCAGGCAACACTATAGCTTTTGCAGACTTAGCCCATATCAGATCATATATTCGAGAATTTCAGTTGGGTTATACGAAGTGACTGAAATTTACTTTTAAAAGCACCACATCATCCATGCATATGTAAATGTCCAGTAAGATAGACTGTCCAACCTGTCCTTAAGGTGTCACTTATACGTTTAGAGTAGTTATTTTATCTTAGTCGTGAACATATACTAGAGAGAGCTTAATCCACGGTCTGTTGTGAATTTGAAATATGCAGCTTTCAGGTTAAAATCGTTCAATACTTCGTTTGGTAACTTTTAAGAGCTAAATTTACTGTCTCTTTTCAGGTCTGATAATGCAGATCATGCCTCACGAGACCTCATCAAACTTCTGGGCTCGTCCTTGTCATCAAAACCTTCGGTAAAGAACAAAAAATACTCAGTAACGTGTATACTTACGATTATTGGTGAAGACCATCTACAAGCATTATTTACGTTTTCATCTCCCATTATCAAAACTGTTATCGTGCGAAATAAAAGGTTGAGCTAAAAAAGGTGCACGGAAGCTACGGGTGTTACGAAAACGAAGACCCTCGAAAACTAAGACCGTCCTAAGACCTAACACCAGTCTCTACATGTGCATGACGTCAAAAGCGACAAATGAAACGAATTTAACGAAAAGAAAAGTCTGTTAAACAGTTTGGAATATGTTACTTTTTCTGTCGTTTTGGTTTCAAAATGTGGAACAGTACAATGATATTGTTGGCGTTGATTATGCTGGCCATAGTTTGTCACAGTTATTATTCAGACCGGCGGCATAATTCTTACTCTAGCATATGCTGATCTAAAACGATAGTCCTAATCAGAAAGCATCACCTAAATTAAAAATGCATCCTACAGTTAACTTTTGATAGGACAGTTCGAAGTGTATAAGTGAGGATATCGCAGAACCTTATGGACGGAAATACGGTCTTCGAGGTTTTGAGGCGCTGAATTATAAGGTTTTGTAAGGAGATGCTAGAAGAGTTACCGTTGGTGGATTGTTTATTCAGACCTATTCTCATCTTTGGATCCAAAACGGTGCAACTGCGACAGTTTTGTCCCTCATTTGTTATTGAAGCCTTCCTCCTACAGAATTTATATTTATTTTATCAAATGAGTGAATGGATTTTGTGTTTTGTTTATGGTTTAGGAAAGAGTTCAAGGGGAAGAAGAACATGACGATTTGCCTCCACTGTTACAGGTTGGAGTGATTCCCGTACAGGCCTGAATTTTTTCAGGTCTGATTTTCACTATTGCTTAAATAGTGCTCTTCACTCCGAGGATCGTGCACAAATACGTTCCTATAACCGCAGTTCAGATATATGAATTTCATATATTCGTTGTGTTTGATAGTTGTAAATTGTTCGTTTTAGGCTTCTTCCTAAAATTCTTTTAAGACTTTGCCACACTATTTAATCAGCCAGTGAGCGGGTGGATTATGTAATAAAGGTTGACTTTTTTGTTCAAGGCACTTGCACGGCACAGCACTAGTGACAAGGAAAGAGATCAGAAGAAACAAAGGCGACTGAAGAGAAAAGTTGAATGTAAGGACGACCCAGATGATGCAAGAAGTGTCACATCCACAATAGGGTCAACAGAGGCGTCCTCAGTGGCTGCTGATTCAACTATTCAGGAAGAAACGTAAGATTTCACGAAAACAAATCGAATTGATAAGTTTAACTTTCGTGATATTTTCTATTTCAGTTTTCATTACGAAACTTTTTCATTTTTCATTTCGTTACTCATATTCTTCATATTTATGTTTCCTTATCTGGGAAAGAGTTCCTGCCATTTGCAACAATTATCGGTTTAAGTTCATTGGGGACAAAAAACGAGCACGAGAAAACATAAATGGTTAACTTGCGATTTATTTTAGTTTCACATCTGATCAGTGGAGAGGTTCGCTGGAGTTGTGTAGACCAGTCAAAGAGATAAAACTAAAGCAGTACAATACTGAATTATTGTGAAGGAAATTAGACAGAGTAAAGAATCATAAAATGATTTGAAATTCAGTCGCATAGCTAACTAATCAAGAAAATGAACACCTCTCTAAAAATTGTTGTGGCTCTTTTGAGAATGCTGATTGCTTCTTTATAGATGTATACTTTTTCATTTAATCGTTGATTAATTAATTTTTTTATATTTGAGACCTCCTTAGTAAACAAGACTAATTTATGTGTTGTCACTCCATGTTCACTCCACTACCTTTTTTCATCATAAAAAAGACCATAAGATTTGATGTTGAGAATGACACGTTAGTAATATATTTATCTGGACTCACCTCAAGTTGATTTAAATTTTTGTGTTTTAGTATCACAGAATTTACCGGTGAAGAGGTGAGTTGAGATTTTGTCATTTTAGCATCATCTGTCTGAATTTTCCTGTTCTTGAATTTGAAGTTAATAATTAGCTGGACATTTTATCTGTCTTTCGACTTTCCATGCTTTCATCCTTGGCTTTTCATTCGTTCAGAGCAACATAACTGACCATGGTAAACATAAAGGACTGCCCGTTAAACTTATTACTCCCCTCAGTGCATCCAAAGAAACAGCTGTCATAGAGACTCTCACCTTCTTCTAAACATTCTGTCAATCTCAAACTGCTCAGACTAATACATTTATGAATTTTTCTTTTATCAATAAGTGGTTTTCAAGTGTCATAATGAGTTTGTTTATTTATGACAGCATCCTCAGCCTGCAGTTGTGTCACTGCGACTTCCTGATAAGGTACATTTAAAGCAAATAGTATTTCATAGGAACTAGATATATTTATAATTGAGAGGGAGGGTTTGGGGAATAAGAAATGCTAACGCGAAGAAAGATTCGTGCGTTTCTAAAGTATTTAACATCAGCGCTCATAACATAAGCTCTCTCACGCGCAATTTCGCTAGTCACTTAGGATAAAATCATCATGCTCCAAGAACAACTTGCTTATCTTTTCAGTCTGTGGTAAGAGCATCAGATGTCCGAGTGTCCAGCCGAGTCAACAAAGCTTCAGTGACACTTAAAAGATATCCCACCGTTTATAATGACCTCATCGGGGAGGTAAGAGTTTACAGTAGTATAGTTTCACTTTTTTCTGAAAGTTACCCCAGTTTAATTTTGTACAGTAGATTTCTGCTCAGATCGTCGACGAGACATACTCGGCGATCCCAAAACTACGTTTTCTCAGGTCAGGGGTGTCAACGATCATACTATGCTGGAAAGATCAATAACTCCCTATTAATAAAGGCTGATGGTTTCCAAAGAAACTGTTTGGGGCTGCGTCGGTGGGAGTAAAGAAATAATTTTGGATTTATCAACAAAGATGAAATTGGTAAATTGGCCACCGTAACGATTACAAAAGCGACGTTTCGAGCGTTAACCCTTCGTCGGAGCGAAGGGCTAACGCTCGACGAAGGGCTAACGCTCGAAACGTCAGCTTTTGTAATCGTTACGGTGGCCAATTTACCATTTCAACTTTGTTGATATATCCAATTTAACTCCCTATTAATCTTCCTTCTCATTTTCGCTTATCAAAGCTAACCCCTAGGAATATTCAAACACAGGGCTTGATCTCCTTTTCAAATTACTTTTAAGACCTTTTAAGTGCTGCTCCAACAAAGAGCGGTCCTCTCGACTTCCCGACCGAGACAAAAGAAGTTTTTGTCTTTTTTTTTTTGTCCATTAAAAGTGTCTAGGACACATTCCAAATCTGATCCATTTTTTTTGCAAATTCTCTTTTTTACATTGCCACAAACCAAAAACGATTTTTTGCTTAAACTGCCTAAAAGGACAGTGATTTAATGTGTTGAATTCATCGATTTTGTTGAGTGCAATACGACTGTAGTGTAGCTCACATTCTCTTGCCACAATTTCAACGTGTATCAAGTTAGTTCTCGGACAAAATATGGAAACTTCAAATTGCTGCTTAGCGCTGTTCTGAATTTGAATAATTTTGTTTCTTTCAGCGTTACTATTTGTTCAACTTCACGCACGTATTGCAATTTATCTGTGGGATGCATGTACGCTATAGTTGTAAATTGTCATGATAATGTTGCTCTTGTTGACATGCTGTTTCAGATTGATACACCCACTGTTAAGTGGCTGGATAAGAACCTGTTTATAGGTGAGGAAATCAAGGAAGTTTATGAAGAAATCACCAAGACGATTGGGACTGATCATCTCCTATTTGATCAGGTAACGCAATCTAAGGCCAGTCGAAGAAACGCTACATGCAAAAAAAATGTACACATGATACATATAGTACTTAAAAATTTTATCCTCAAACATGGACAATGCGTAAGGTGGAGATACATGTTGTTTTTTAGTTTTGTTACTTTAAAAGTGTTAATGTTTTTACTAACCGTCCTCGATTGATTGTACTGAAGGCTGATTGGAGTTACAAGTAATTGTGCATTATGGAGCTTGGAGGTTTGTCTTGGAGGAAAAACAGTTGTGTTTGTCGTTTTGTAGGATTCATATGTTGAAAGAACTGCGGAAACAGTAGACTTTTCTCTGTGCACCTCATCTTCTTCCCTCTGCAAGCCTCGTGCGGAGCGTGTAATGAATAATAATTTGACAAAAGATATTCCTCCACCATGGGGTAACAGTACCGCTGACAACTGGCGGAACAGGTAACAACTAAAATTTATCAACTAGGCTTCGTATCTCAAAATCATAAGTCTTGTTAATCTAATTTCGCTGAGACTCTCTTCAAACGCCTGTATAAAAAAGGTAATAGCGATTGTGCTTTTTCGCAGTAACGTAACGTGTATTATGTTACCACAGACATCATGAGATTTATAAAGATTAATAGCTAATAAATGATCTCATCACAAGCTCCCAAACCTAGAAGATTATTATCCAAGGCCTTTGTGCTGATTTGACAGTGATTTGGGTTTGTTGAAATTACAGCCCAAAGTTCGGTGGTCTTGGAAGAGAAGACATCCTTCAGGTATCTCAAATTCATAGTTTCTATGATGAGTGTGGCGATTCCTCGCGTGCTCATGTCATTCATTCTCATGTCCACCTTTCTTTTTTCATGATATTAGGCAAAGCTAAAGAAAGGGGATGACAATGGTCATGGAAATAAATCCTACAACTCGTGGCTGGCTTGGTGGCGCAGCACCATCACAACGGATGACTTCCTAAAGTTTCTCTCCACTCAGGTATCAACTTCATCACTAAACACTATAGTAACTGCAACTACACCAACTACACAAAAACAAACCACTGCCACTACTTTACCGAACTACAGCAGCTACACCAACTATATGAACCACACTGACTACACCAGCTATAGAGAGTATGCTGGCTACGCTGACTACATGGAGGGGAAATAACGTTTTAGGCAAATGTTTCTCCCACTTTAACTTTATACCTTAAACATTGCATAAAAGAAATGTTTCAGTTTGCTATACGACTACCCATCGCATGCAGGTCACCAAGTGGAGCTCAACAAAATAATTTTCACGAAAATGAAAATGTCTCCTAGCTTTCCGTGCCCTGAAAAAATGAACAGGGACACTGATCCAAAAATGCATTTTTATGCTGATCTGATTCGATTGTTCACTTGTCAATTTGTGTTACTGGAATTGTGAAGTTTGTCTTGTTCCGTCATTTGCGTTTGCAATACTACAAAAACCTATTGGCGGGCAAAAAATGCTACTTATTACTTTTGTTGTTTTTATTAAACGATAAAAACAAGTTAATATGACCGCTTCGGAATAGATTTGATTTTTATCTTCTCGTGCTAACATTATCACAGTCCTCTTAGACTGAACTCAGCACACCCATGTTGGGGAACATGTAGTCTCTTGACTACTGTGTGTTACTTTTCTGATTTGGCCACTGTGTCACCTTTATTGCATGGTGTATAACGTCACGTGTGTTTTAACAGGAAAACGACTACATGTCGCTGTTGTTTCATTTGTATGATTCTGATCACGAAGCCGATGACGGAGAGGATGGAGACGAGGCTCGGCCAGATACCATTCAGATGGCTTTGTTAAGGTAATTAAATGCTTTATATCTATTGGCTATTCTCAGAAATCTTTAATACAGAGATGGTTATCTCTAAGTGTCTAGGAAGGTGGAGGCGAAACTTGAGAATGTATACAATGTGACGTTTTATTTAGGTGTGACTCAAGCTTTTTCTTATCAATTTATAGTATTTCTTGTGAATAAAATGTGTTGTGAAGGTGTAGTCTGATCGTCCGGGTGAGTGTAGTCCTGAGAAGGACTGTTGTCGGTGGTAGTGACTGACGTTTCGACAACCTGTGCGGAAGTCATCGTCAGAGTCGAGTGAATGATTGTTGTCAGTAGAATGTTCTTATTCCAGTTCTTGTAAAATGATCGGTTGGTTTTGCAGTGATGTTATTGGCTGTAAGACTCAAGTGACGTAAGTCGGTCGTGATTGGTCTGTTTCGGTCTGTCGGTAAAGTTAGGTCGTTCTTTTTCGGTCGTTNAGGACATCCATCACACAGTAATCTCGTGCGTGGGAAATTAACGTCTCCTTCCCCTAACCCTGCAGGAGACGGGACCTCCATTTATTCGTCCCTATCCGAGAAGACTAGAATATCTAACCATTTCTTGATGTTATAGGAAGGTAGCATATTCTTCTCAATTATTTTAAGGCCTCGAGTGTTGGTCTGGCCGGGGCTTGAACCCTCGATCTCCAGTCACACGAGTTACAGTATTGATGTGATCCGTTTGGACTTGTTGCTCCAGCCATTAAAAAATGTTTTTCCTTCTTTTGCTCTGTCGTGCTTGATGACTGCCTTTTAAAACTCGCGTCCTTTAATGACGTAGTCTAATGAGAAGTTAAGACCAATCGAGTGTTTTGAGCAGTTTGCCAATATTTTGTGTCTTTCTGTTGAGTTTCTGTTCATTTTCTCTTGTAGATTGGAATAGGCAGTAAGAGTGTTTTTTATTGTATTCTGTTTTCTTAGAGGAGGAACTTTTAGCTTATCTTGAAGAAAGTCTTAATACCGTTACACCAGACACGTCAACTAAACAGACAGTTGCAGCAGCCTCCTCCTCATTGTCTCATTCGGTTGGAAGTGCAAAGTCGGTGAGCACAACGTCCAATTCCGACCGGCAGAGAATGGATGCAAGTTCTGCAGGTATCATACCACAGGCTGTAAGTAGGGCTGGTGCAGCAGAAACAGCCAGTACAAGCGAGGTTTGTCACTCTGGGTAAATTGTGCATTTTAGGAAAACGATCACCCAAATAAGGATCACTTAAACCTTTAGTTTAAGAGGGTATCATATTTTGTTAGGTGGGTTCACTGTCGCCTCAGGATCGCTTGGAAAGGCTATGGACATTGGTATGTATGCCTGACGCACAGAGACTAGACATGGCTATAAAGTACAGTGCTGAACCCCACAGCAATAATCTTCTAGAGGTAAAGGAACATTTTTATTCAATGTAAAAAGAGTAAAACAAGTTGCATTACCCTCAAATTTGATTTGACGTCTTTAGATTTTCAATCGAAGTTTTGGTTCATTGTTTCAATGAAATTACCTAAAAGTCCATGGGACTAGAGTCACGATATAGTTTTATGTAGACATTACGTTGCATTTCATTAGAAAAAAAAACACAGAAACTGTTTTGATTTATTATTTCAGGCCCTTACCTTCTGGGAAATTGCTACAGAGGTAATCTTAGATCGTGAGAGTTTAATGACTAAGCTAGAAGATTTTGAAAGAGCTGCTTCCGATCCTAACAGATTCTTTGCCAAAGGTGAGTTCTGGCAAAGGCGGATTGCCATCTAGAATTGGATTCAGGCATTAGGTAAAAAAGTTAGGCACATTACTGATGGTCAAACCTACATGTAACAGTTTCATTGACATAAATCAGTCTTTCCCACTCATAAATGGCACTTTTTCCTAAGAAAACAACGCCTCATCTGCTTCACGAATCAAGGAATCCAAAACAAGGGATTGGTTTAATAAGGTAATGTAAACAAATGTTCTTCTTGCACATGTCAAATTGATTCATAGAAGAACAGGCATGGGTGTTTACTGAGTTGTAAGGCATGAACGACATGAACAACATGAACAACTTAAAATGGACAAACTGGTCAAACAAGCTTTTTTTCTGATAGAGTAAACTTAGCTGCATGCTATGGCTATTAAACTATTTCTTTAAGAGTTATTTGGAGGGACAAGTGTACTAAAATTGTAATGTAACTGATATAGTGATGTGAAATACCTTTCTTTCCCATTGGTGGCAGCACCTCACTCGTATTGAGAGTCGGATTAAAAAATCAGTCACTGATGTTCAACGTCATTTTGGCGACATAGTGACATTCCAGGTATGCTAATTTTTACATTAAGCTTTTTGCATTGGTGTAGTGAAGGGAGTGTACAGGATCAAGGAGTTGGAGGGGGGATCCCGCTGTGGATCAGTTCTCCCTTTCAAGTATTTATTGGAAATTACTTACGACTTTGGTGTAAATAAAAAAATTGAAAGAACGAGGTCGCAAGTTTCTTGCTTTTAACTGTCTTTTTCATGTTTGTAAACCCCGATGGAAAACCCCACACTGGATCCAGAAGTATTCAATCCATTAAGACTAAGTCATTTCTTAGGACCAACTGTTTTGGAGTTGAAGAATAGCTCTCACGAGCGTCAGCTTAGAAGCTATTTACGATGGCCGATGTACATTATCAACTCAGTTGATAAAACCGAATTTTTTGGGGTCGGTTTTGTTAAGGCTTTTCGTGTTCTCTTGATCGCCATGCCATGCTGTTTTCTTTCAAGTTGTCGACACGGAGACATGGATTGTAATCTTTCCTGGGGGTATATCAACAAAGTTGAAATGGTAAATTGGCCACCATTATGATTATAAAAGCTGACGTTTCAAGCGTTAGCCCTTCGTCGGAGCTAACGCTCGAAACGTCAGCTTTTATAATCGTAACGGTGGCCAATTTACCATTTCAACTTTGTTGATATATTCAAATTATTTCGTTACCCCCTACCGACGCAGCGCCAAACAGTTTCTTTAGAAACTATCAGCCTTTATTCTTTCCGAGGGGTAGCATCGTTTCGGTTTGCGCCAATCCAACACAACCTAAGAAAAAGGAAACGAAGGATTGAAATTTGTTATGGCCTATACTAATTTATATGACATTTCAAAACCACCTTCACAATTCTGATTTCTTTTGCTGTAACTGACTGAATTATTGGTGAGTTTTTTGCGAATTTCTTTGACTTTGCAAAGAGGAATTCTCATTTGTGCGCTATATAATCTACAATAGAAGTCCCCTCGTACATTTATCCTAAGTGAGATTGCCCTTGTCTTGAATAAATTGTCAACCATATCGGCTTTTTTTTTTTTTTTTTTTTTATATTTCAGGGTCGCCCTTACCTGGAAAAAATCAATCGGGATCGAACCGAAATGTTTTATTGGCTACAGCAGGAGCGACGACAACATGTGATGGACAGAGAACTTGTTAAGATGAGGGAAGTCACACTTAACGCTGCTGATCTTCCTCCAATACAAGCACACGTGATGTTGTAAATCAAATGTTTATCATTCTGTTGTGTTTATAATAAAATTTGATGAAAATATCTGAGAAATGTTTCCAAATACTGTTATCTTAAATGGCTGTTTTTCCATTTTGTGGACATTTTAGAGAAAAATTCCAAGCGTTTGGGAATCAAAATTTCCGAAATGCTTTACAGATTGCATAGTTTGTGTCAAACAGACTTCACTACGAACCTTAAGTTGATTGGAATGAACTTTCTTGGACATTCTTTCCAACCAGGTAATTAGTACTAGAAAGCTCAATTACAAAACTGGATTTACTTTCTATTTGCATGCCCCATACTAATGATGCCTTTCACTAATCCACTACCACGACCTTTATTAGAGAGGATGAATCCCCTCTTGCTGTTTGCGGAATCTGAACAGAAAAAAAAACCATGGCCACATTACCTTTGACGTGTTTCACAAAAGACGTGATGGTAATGCAGTAGCAGTGACCCACTTCGTTGATGAACTTGTACACAGCAATGTAGTCATTCCGGAAATTGACAAGTCCTTACTATAGACCAGTTATGAGTATAACTATTTTTGATACAAAAAATCACAGTAAACATTAGCTAACGATTCTCGGTTCCAAAAATAACTTTGCTTTCCAAGGGCAGGTTAAACTTTAGCTTACATGGCTAAGTCTCAGACAACATGTAGAGACAGTTTCTGAGTGGCCAGCAAGTCAGATATCAACAAAAAACATACTGTGCAGAGGGTATGGTATATCGCTGTTACTGTAACTGCCCCTGTCTCGGTCTCTTACACTGTCACTGTCAGTTTCACTTTCCATTCATTGTGACTGTTCTAGCCGTTTCGTATCCACAATCATTCTGTACCCAGTCTTTTTATACCCAGCCAGTTTTGTCGTTTCATACCCAACTTGGTCGTTTCATATCCAAACTTATAAAGTATGTTTTCCATAGTGTGGTTAAGTTAGGTCGATTTCCTGTCGTAAATAGCAATATCACCTGTGTTAATAAGTTTTGTTAACAGTGACAGTGACTGGGACAGAGATAGTGATCGCGGCAGTAACAGTAACAGTGACAGACGGTTACAGTGACAGAGACTGGGACAGAGATAGTGATCGCGAAAGTAACAGTAAACAGTGACAGACGGTTACACTGACAGAGACTGGGACAGAGATAGTGATCGCGGCAGTAACAATAAACAGTGACAGACGGTTACACTGACAGAGACTGACAGGGAGAATGATATGGTTTTTTAAATCATGTCGACATTCTTTGTTTAACTTTTTTAGGGTCGCCCTTATCTGGAGAAAATCAACCTGGATCGAACCGAAATGTGTTATTAAGTAGAAACAAGCGCTCCATTTGACAAGTAACTATAGTGAACGAGAAAAACAAACAAAGGACAAAATGGGAAAGCTTTAAGAAGTACAAAAACCGTGTTACAATATGCACGTTAGAATATTGCAATCCGGGCCGTGACATGAGTGTGCACTATCGACCAGAGTATAGTATGCTGCCAGTGTAACGTTACACAGAAAAACTTGAACTCATCATGCTATAAATCTTTATTTTCTTTTGACACCTGATCTGTCGAAAACTCAGTTCATGTCGGCCATTTCGACATTTGCTCGACATTTGTAAAACTTGTCTTCGACGTTTCCTCAGTAATATTGACTCTGCACACCAACCACAGTATAGTGCTAAATGGGTGAGTCTAAGACACAGCTTTTCTTCCTCTAGGATTAGATGTATATTTCAAGAGCGATGACTTTGTTTGTTTAGTTTTATACACCACTACGTGATTATCTCATTACAGAGATTTCAAGTGACTTATAAGCATCGTATGTAGCTTTGCAGTAATGATATAATAGGCGTTTCGTTTTTCTAGACGATGTGTTAAGAGTTAAGATCGAGTTATTAAAGATGCGTGCTTGTCCTTTTCGCAAATGGACGGAATAAGGTTTGGTCAAGGGACGCTGAGTAACACGTATCATACCTCGAAAGAATTATTGAGAGAACTGTAAAGGGAATTGTTCATTTATTAAAACCTTTTCCGTGTGTTAAAATTTCCCGTTTTCGACCAGAAAAATAGGCCATTAAGGAGAGGAAATGTTTGTCTCGGATGAGGAATATCTCCGTTGACACCCAAAATCATATTTTGTTTTTTTGGAATCAGAGCGGGCGGTCAAGCAGCAAACATAACACAGGCGCACGTGATCAGAAGCCTTTTTTTAGTTCGATCATGATAGACAGCTCACTTTTAGAAGCCACTGTACTAAAAAACTGGTACATTTAGATGCGAATTTGTTTTTTTCTGAAAGAGAAAGAATATGATGATAGGAACTAGGAGGGTACAGTATGCTCGCTGTGATAATACGTCAAACGTGTTGGATTGCGTCCAGAAGGTATCATAGGATAATCTGAGCACGTCAAACTTTATTGCAATACTCTATCCTGAAAACGGCGATATAGTGAGTCGTAAATTGGCTCAAAACCCCTTCTGTCTGCTCAAATTCAACTGATTCTGCACGCAGCTGATTAACAAGTTAGCGACGGAAATATGAAGTGTGACTGAGTACTAAAATATGTTTTCTCCTCTTAGTAAGGTCACGTGAGGGTATGTGAGAGGGCATTACTTAATGATGTAAATACGATATCCTTTTATACACATTTTGAAATAGTGAAGGTTGCTTTTTCCTTGTGGTATTTAAGGGTTAATAAGTGTTACTAAAGGAGGGTTGGGAGTTTCATACGATTTATGGACGTATCATCACGATACAGTGATTCCATCAATCGATATGGTGTTCCTGTCTAACGCTATGTAGCTTATTGAATAAATGTGTAAGCACGCCGTCCATGAGGCAGTCTAACGACAAACTTAAATTGACCAAAGATACGCGCATTCATTTTAAGCTCTTTTTGTTCTTGTGTATGTGTGTTGGTAGGGTCCGCTCTCCTAAGAAAAACCTTCTTGCTTGTGATCTCCTGTATCCTGAATGCAGAGCTGAACACTTCGCAAGGTATGTTAAATTCTTCTAACTAATGAATCCTGACAATTCTTGGTAAATCCTCTTCTCTAGAATCGCATTAGTTAGAAGACGCAAAGATATTTTGGAATTCACATGTGTGATAAGCCTGTGTCTTGCAATGATTCGGAGTGATTACATTTTCGAATCTGCGCTTTGATTGTTAGCTGACATAAACTCCGATCTGATCAATAGTCACTTAATACGAGCGACAAATCTTTTCGCCACAATCTAAATGCCTGATGCAAAATTCCTTAGTAGTTTTATGACCGTTGTCAGTTTGTTGCTAACAGGATCAAAATTTCTGAAAGTTTTTCAATCTCATATGAGGATTTTTCGTTTCCACGGCGTGTCAAATTGGGTTTTTCCATTGTGCAAAGTCTTACGAACAAATCCTGTCTTACGAACAAATTCAAATGCGATGGACATATAGATTGTGAAGATGACAGTGACGAGCTAGACTGCAGTAAGAAAATAGCAATTTTCCGATTCCAATTATTCCAGGAGGAAATGAGGGGGGGGAATCTCGAAAACGAGTTTTTTTTTTTTCATCCCGGCTTTTCGTGCCAAAGGTTCCTCTGGTCAAGCAAAACATATTTTGTAAATCAAATAATTTTAAAAAGGGTTCGAATTCGAGTTAGTCGCAACATTTTGTTCGAGTATTTTGGGAATCGGAAACAAGAATATCCTTCAGATTTCTTTCTTATGATTTGATGGTATTGCAATGGGGCAACAGTAAGTCGTTACGGAGAATTATGTTGTAGCCATTGCTTACTTAAATCCTATTTTGGGATCTGTTGCCATCTCAGCATTCAGAAAAAGTCGTGTCAGAATTTAAGTATTTATGTGAATGGTGACAGTCAAAATGATTGGTTCACTTTATCCTCTTTTAGTTGATACTCAAGTGTATCACTTACATGCCTTCCTCTCCTGGTAGGATAGAGCAAAACGGTCGTTTCAGAAAATTCTGGGCAATAATAAATATGTATCTATTTTTCAGCTATGGAGGGCATCTTTCAAGACTATGGCAACGAAAAAACTCAACGATTTCCGGTTTACCATACAGTAAAGGGCTTTGATATTCAAGTGAGATTCTCCACTAAAACTTGCACGGGGCAATTGGTGGAGATAATGAGTAAGGACACCAATCATTTCTTGCGCATCACGCTTCTCGACATCGGCCTCATTCGGATGTCATTCAGTACCCCTAACGGTCAGAGCCAATTGAATCTTGCTATGCCATCAAAAGGAGGGTTCTGCAATGGCAAGAGGCACTCTGTTTGGCTCAGCATCTACCGTGGTGTTGTTTCATATGGTGTTGACAAAGTTCTTCCAAAAAGGTTTTACGTGGCGCACTTAAGAGAACTGTTTTCGTCGCCAGAAAACATAATTATTGGCAAAGGGCTTCAGGGATGTGTTTCTGGTTCCACGGTTGTCCTTCGCGTCAATAAGACCCACGAATACCGTGTAGGAACGTCGTCTGGTTGTTCGATGGCTAGTAAGTACCACGGGACTCTTTTATTCAATAGATTATAACAGAAGCATACAACATTAAAAGTACATGTTTCATCCTTGGAACAAAGGGTTCTTTAAACTTAATTACATTGTTAAATCAACAGGCAGAGAAAAGTGCAATACGAGTGGTGAACAACTTTGGTGAAAAATTAAAAAAACCAACATGTATATGGTTTGTGAGCATCGATTCTTAGTATTTGAGTAGCGTCAATGAAAACGGTGCACAATATTCGAGAAAACATTGTAAAAATGGTTGCGGTGTCAAGTGCATGCTATCATCGGTTATTTAGAGGAGGAGAGGCTAAACAAAATAAGACCTAAGGAAACGTTTTAGCAAATAAGCAGATAAGTCTGTAAAATTCCAACAAAGAGGCCTAAAGGCAACAAAAAGCTAAAAGGGTAACGGGTAACGGGTCACCGATCATGGGAACACTGATTGATGATCATGGAACACTGAAAAAAGTCTCTTCTTTTTAGGTGACATAGAAACACGCACAGTCTAGAATGCATTAAAACTCGCTATCGGCCATTTAGTGGCAGAGACTAACTGTTCTGCAATCTGAGCAGTGAACAACTGTCAACCTTTCAGTACCCCTCACGGTCAATTTCTTCTTTCGTCTGGTAGAATCCACTACTCGATCTCCGAAACAAATGCTTGCACAGAAAATTGCAATCTTCGATGAACCCGATTGCAAACCATTAACCTTCGCATCCTGTAAAACACTTGGTTATAACTTGACCCAAGTACCAAACCATCTTCAACACAAGACATATTCTCAGGCTGCAGCTGAATTGGGGACGTTCATGTCAAAGCTCCAACCTCAATGCTCTCCTCATTTGATGTCATTCCTGTGTCAACTGTATCTACCGCCATGTATCCCTCACCAGTCCTCCTCTCCTCCGTGCAGGTCGCTTTGCGAGAGTGTCCAGGAAGGCTGTTCCACCCCTTGGCCCAGCCACCTTAACTGTACTCAGTTTCCGCGTGCAACTGACAACAAAAAGTGCTTTCTAGGATCTGCAAAGGTAACGACTAAGAGGACAACCTTGATGAGAGGAACTATAACTAAGAACGAGAAACTGACGGAGACGAATTCACTGAAGAACGTAATAAAGAGAAATCCGATTATATCAAGGAAAGCTGAGGAAAGTACAACTGAAACAACATCTGTAAAAACGGATGCACGGTTCACAAAACAAAATCAAGGAAAAGATACCCTTGTGAAAAGTTCTTCAACATTGACTAGTGAAATGGACTCAAGGGTGTCCACAACTGCTGTGACGGAATCAACAATAAGACAAACAGCAAGCTTTCTTTCCTCTGTGATGACAGGAACACAATCAAAAGTTGTGGTAAAAGAAAAACTTGAAAAACATTCGTCAACAGCTGCTCCATTAGTTGATAAAAACTTGAAGAGAAGGAATGAAACGAATATTGATAAGGACTCAATACCGAAAAAAACAGAGAATTCACGTTGGAATTTTTCAACGCCTTTATTGTCTGCAAAAAAAACAGGTATTCTCATTCAGTGCAATCACAAGGGGCAGAAAAGGGTAGGGCCAGTAAAGGGTAGGGCAAGTAAAGGCTAAGGCAGAAAAAGGTTGGGTCGGTAAGGGTAGGGCCGGGTTAGGGTAGGGCCGGGTAAGGGTAGGGTCTGGTAAGGGAAGGGTCAATAAGGATAGGGCCGGAAAGGATAAGGCCAGCAGGGATAGGGCCGGTAAGGGTAGGGCCTGGTAAGGGAAGGGCCAATGAGAGCAGGGCCGGCAAGGATAGGGCCGGTAAGGGTAGGGCCGTTAGGGAAAAGAGCTATCATCAATTCCGCTGGCAACAGGACAGTAAAATTAGCGCTTTGTTTTATCGCTCAGAAATCTGAAAGAAAATAGATATATTTTCTATTCATCAGAAAAAGTATCGCTGGTTCATTTATATTATCTTAAGATATCTCCACCATAGACAGTAATTGAAGCCCCGAAAGGATCTACAATGAGAGAAATTTATTTATGGTAAGTGTATCTGAAATGAACGGGACAGAAAAAATCGTAGAAGCACTCCAGTCACACTTAATATAGGCTTTGCTCCCATTCTTTTTTTTTCTTTTCGTTTTGCAGGTATTTGTGGAGGTGTGTTGATGTCTGTCAGGGGTCAGTTCATGTCACCAGGATATCCAACAGGGTATCCCTCCAACACAACGTGTAGGTGGTCCATCATCTTACCGAGTGATTACCACCTCATCAGTTTCACTTTCCACAAAGTGTACTTAGAGGAGGATAGAAACTGCGTGTAAGTAGCTTTCTTAGATATTTCTTGGACACTTGCTGCTAAAAAATATTTTTCCAACTCTCTTGATCGTCTGCTAGTAGCGGTCACCTTAGTAAGCACGTATCTATTTCGTTAGTTAGGACGATTTTCTTTTTTTCAGGTACGACTACATTGCTGTGTACGACATGTTGGACAACGAAGTGGGTCAGCGGTATTGCGGTTCCATTACATCTCCTATCGTGAAACACGTCAAAGGCAACGTGGCCACAGTTGTTTTCCATTCAGATTTTGCAAACAGCAAGAGGGGATTCATCCTGTCTTATAAAGGTCGTAAATGCCATGACCCATCGGTAGTGGAGCCATTTTACTGATTTCTTAGCTAGAGAGGGCAACTGAAAGGGTTCACTTAATCCCGATTAGGAGTTGTTTCACCACTTAGGTGATATGTCTGTTTGATAGACTGTAATCTGTTAAGTATTTAGATAATTTGATTTCTGAACACTTGGAATTGTCCTCCAAAATGTTTACAAACTAGAAAAACAACAATTTAAGAAAGCAGTATTTGAAAACCTCTCTCAGATATTTTCAATATATTATATTATATAGAATCTATAAAATAATAAACATTTTATCAACAACTGAATATCATGTGCGCTTGTATTGAAGGAAGATCAGCAGCGTTAAGTGTGACTTTCGTCATCTTTACAAGTTCTCTTTTCCTCATATGTTGTCGTCGCACCTGCTGTAGCCGTAAACTGAAGAGAAGAGACTCCCCCTTTCTTCTTCTTACGGCCTTCGGCCAAAAGTGAGTTCGTGAGAAGACGCTTCTAACGGCCCACAAAGGCGAAAAAATAGATGTGGAGGGAAAGTGTCGTGGAGAGGGTCAAGACAAGATGTCTGAGTTAATATCTACTTGGAACTTCATTTTTGCCCAACATCTTTCAAAGATAAAAGGAAATCACCTGTCTGATGCGGATAGACATGTAAAGAGGGCTTTCCTCAAAGATGTAAATTGGTATTCAACAGACAACCACCATTTACAGAATATTTTATTAAAAAATATACACATATCTACATGTCTAATATTTTAAAACCTGTCCCTCTGGTAAAGGCAAGTTAGCAAAGCACACGAAAATCGAGCAACAAAAGTAACCAACACCACAAGTAATCCTGACCTTGCGTTTCCAAGATACCGATTATTTATTCTCTTCAGTTTGAATTCTTCTTGACCCTTTCTATCCGATCTCCATGAAATCCATTGGATGCATCGCTTAGCAAAAATGGTTTAGGGCCTCTTTATACGAGCCCAGGTTGAATCACTTTAAAGAGTCAGCCAAATATGTACCCTGGACATGAGCCCAGGCCGCCAATCTGCACCAGGATATGGTTTGATAGGGACTGACTCGGGTCACCCTTTGGACCAACGAACAACCTCAAGACATGAGCTTCAAGGGTGCCAAAAAAAAAAGTCAGGTGTCACGAAATGGTAGGTCATGATGTAGAGACAACATCACAGAGACGAAACAGAAATGGTTATTTGGTTAAAGTGCCCACTGAGTTGGCGTTTGAGCCAATATCTACAGGAAAGTATTCAGGACATTTAATTTTAACCCCGCAAGCCGGCTCAATCTACTGAGGTTTCGACAAAGATTGCCCAGCAAGGGCCGGGGAGTTAGCTCGGCCCGACGTCTTTTTTAAAATGGTTACAAACAGTTAGCTGCTCTAGGGTTACCCTTCGGGGGGATTCAAGTCAGGTTAAATAACTAACCTGGGTCGTGTAAAGAGAGTTAAAACAATTCTAAACCACCACAAAGTCAATGATAAATTATGTATTACCAAACACAAAGAGATTATCCTCATTTCTCAGAAAGTAAATTTAATGAAAATTTTTTAAGATCAAGGACAGATCTTGTTCACAATCTATTTACCCCGTCACCACTTGGCGTGCGCGTGATTTTTCTGCGTGTTGCGCGATTCTTTTCACTACAAACTTGAAAAACACTCTCTGGCTATGAACCAGTTTAAAACTCTAGCTGACAAGATTCAAAGCTAAAGGGAACGTGTGTAAACAATCATCATTCCTTCTACGAAAAGCGCTATGAATTAAAAAAAGTTAGAAGTTTGAAAAAGTTCCCTTTTATTACAACTTACAAGCCTTAAAAGAAAGCTAGACATACTTAAGTTGTACTGTTTAGAGGCAAAATATAACCATTCTTACGGATAATAATTCACTAGACCATTGTGGAAAAACCTTCTTACTGAAGCATCCTGGCCATCAGTCTTTTGGACGGATCAGAATTAAGACAATGGAAGAGTAGTTTCAGTGATAATTTCCACGCTTATTCTCTTCCAGAAACGAGGGTAGTTTTTTAAAAATATTTCGTTATGCCCAATTATCATTATCATAATCATTATCATAATCATTATGGTAATACGGCTCGGAATCAAGTCTTTCATTCGCTCGTCAAAATCTCCTCCTGAGCTCAGTTCACAGCTATCTTTATCAGATTCAGACCCCATCACTATCAGAGTCACTGTAAAAGTCCTGCAAAGTAACTCGGTTAAACTTGTACTTTTGCCTGTCAAAGCAGTTCATGTAAGACCACCATCCCCTTGTTCTTCCCACTGAAAAATCTTTCCGGCCTTCATGGAAATCACTCATTTGGTTGCGCTTGTCTCGGCGGTAGGCACGCACGCGTAAGGTGATACTGATAAGGAGCAGAAAAACAATAGGAACAGCTAGGACTGACAGAATGATGAGAGCGGGAATAATACCTGCAGTTATGTCAACATTGTCCTCACTGTTCAAAGTGTCGTCTTGTGGTCCACCAACAGAATTGTTTTTCACAGTAACTGTTTCTGTTGGCTTTGGACTGGGCTGCCCAATGACACCAGTCTTTGCAACAGGAGAAAGTGAAGGCTTCTTTCCATTTTGTTTTAGTTGCTCTGGATCGGCAGATGCTCGGTGAGTTGACATGCCTTTCGTGGACGTATTTTCACTCTCTTCCTGCTTAGGATTTAATCCGTCAATAGTTTCCCCTAGAATAGTGTGACTGCTTTGAGTGACATGATCACTTGTTTTAACGGGTACAGTATTCACTGGTGTACTTGAAGTCTTGTTACTGAAAGAATCTTAAAGAAACATCAAACAAGAGCATTTAGCGAAATAAATGTATGTGCACAAGACATACAGACATGCATACAAGGCAAAACTTGGCAAAACTCTTCCTTTAGTTTGAAGCTTTCAAAGTACGTTAAAGTAAACGTCTGAACATAAACCATTAAAATGAACAACTGATTTGTGTTTTATGATTTAAAAAAAAAAAAGACCGTTTGAATGATTAATATGGACTAACCAACTTGACGTTTTGAAGACAGTTTCCAAATTCTATTGGGACCAAGCTCCACCACATAGACATCACTTCCATCGGCAGAGGATACCACGTCATGAGGTTGGACCAAGGCCTGCATCAAATACGAAAACTAACTTCAGTTGAATACTTTTTGTCTCAAAAGGAAGGACAGGTGAATTGAAATGGTCTGGCCTCACTAGCCTCAAACACGACTACACCAACAACTAGGAAAACCAAAATAAACAGTGAGCACCTGCTCTCGGTCAGAAGGCCATGTCTGTAATATGACTTTGTCGGCGACTCTGATTGTGAATCCCTGAACCGCTGAATGTTGGACTCCTGTTTTCTGACTTTGCCCATTAACAACGTGTAGGACTCCACCCTCTGGAGCAAAAGATTATCTGGGTGAACATACCAAAACAAACCATCCAGAGAAAGTGACATTCTCGGGCAAAGGGAAACAACACTTACGTTTCCTGACGCTGAAATCCACGGCAAAAACCTTTCCCCCAAACTCTGGAAGCTTAATTTCATCGACAAAGGCCCCAGAGATAGAGTTAAATGATTGAACACGGCCGTTCTCCCTGTCGGCAACATACAGCGTGTGACTTGACTGATCCATGGAGAGACTGTGTGGGATGAACAACGAACCTGGGGCAGGAATACCTTACCGACACAAAAAACAATGCTTAATTCATTTAGAAATGGCTAATGGATCAGAAAAATCGAAGGAAAAACAAAACGAAGATACAAAACACCGATACTACCTGGACTAGAGACGGACATTTCGCCCAAAGAACTCAACAGCTTTCCAGCAGCAGAGAACTTTAGAATACGAGAATTGCAGTACCTTTCACAAAGAAAACAAAGTAAAAACAAACATAACGAACAAAAAATAAAACAAGTAGAATAAATAAAAATAGTAACAACTACAAGCTTCGTTAAATATAATTATGTGTAAAAACTGAGATATATATCTGATTAGACGTTTTGGTGTGTAGTATCCCTAAGTATTTTTCCGAGTTGTGCCGTATTTTTAAGAGCCCAAAGGGCGCGTCAAAATACAAACAACGAATTGACAAATAACGCTCTGATGGAATTTTAAACAACCTCGGCAATCTCAAAGAATTTAAAATCTCCGCAGTCAAGTGTTTGTTATCTTCAAATTATATTTCGATAATCAGAAAACTAGCCCTTCGCTCGTTCCATCGGTCGGAAACAGCTAATACTCTTACTTAAACTTCTGCGATTATTGAGAGATAGAAAACTTTGTTTTCTTAATATTCATATATCTCAGGCTTTTTTTATCGCAAGATATTTGTACTCTATTCGCGCGTTATTTGTATTCTTCTTTTTGTAGTTGGATAATAAAAGGTTTTGCACTACAATTTGAAACGCAAGCAGTAGCTGTAAAAAGAAATGAAACCTTGGGAAGTCGAGAGAGTTCTCTTAATAGGGGAACGAGTATGCTCTTTTGAAGGGTTTGTAAGGGATTGCTGACAGCAAAGAGCCTGAGGATATCACGAGCAGGACAAATTAAACATAGCCAAATTGAAGCATTACATCAAGATTAACGACGATGAACCAAATTTACAGTTTGTATCATTGAAGTTCTTGTAAACGGGATTGCATCAAAGAACCCATAAGTAGATTCTACAGTTCATAGACCTATGTAGGTATGGTTTGCCGCGAGTACAATTTTCCTTTTCTCTTTTTTTCAACCGACACGCATCCATAAAGGTATCGTAACCAACAGCTTCAACTGAGGTATTCTACAAATGAAATATAACTGAATAGTGAATCGTAATGAAAGCAATTTAAGATATACAAGCGTACCCATCTGCAACAAAGAACTCTCCATTTCTGTCCACAGCCACAGAGGTGGGTTGGCAGAATCTGGATTTATCAGAGCCTGGTACCAATTTGTCTCCCAACGACATCAAACGCTGAGTACTACTTCCAAGAGGCGAAAACTTGAAAACCTATATAAAAAAGAAGTATTATTATGAATTCGATTTTCTATGGCTGAACTTTCTTCAAACTTACTGCTGTTGTCGAGTTAGGACACTGCAGTACGTAAAACAAAACTTCACCAACCTGATGACTTCCAACATCGGTCAGCCACAGATTATCTTCATGGTCAACTGTCAAGCCATGAGGTAAGAAAAACCTGCAGGAGGTAAGAAAAACCAAGCCAACTTCATACATTCAAAATTCATTGATTTACATCACTTCGACGGGTTTAATACGAACCAACATAATGTCCAGCTCCCAGTTGGCTCGTTAGCTCAATTAGTAGAGCGCTGCACCGGTATCGCAGAGGTCAGGGGTTCAAATCCCGTACAGGCCTGAATTGTCTTCAGGCTTTATTTCCACCCACTAGATAAGTAGGATTTATTACTGTGAGGAACGCTTTCATACATTGCAGTCTAGTATGTTTAAGAGAGTTATCAGAGTCACCTTCATCATTACGACGCAGAGCTAAAAAGACTCCTCAGTGTGAACAAGAAAACCTTCGTATGATGCACGATCCTTCGCAGTAGATAGCGCTATTTATGCAATAGCGAAAATCAGACCTGAAAAAAATCAGGCCTGTACGGGATTCGAACCACTGACCTCTACGATACTAGTGCAGCGCTCTACCAATTGAGCTAACAAGCCAACTGGGAGCAGGCCGTTAAGTTGATTCGTAATAAACCCGTGATGATAAATCAGATACAATGAATATATGAAGTTCATATATTTTGAACTGCGGT